GTACCTCCAATACGAGCACCTCCGAGACTAGCGGCTCCAGCACCTCCAGCAAACAAAGTATCAGCACCACTCCCAGCTCCAGCGCCAGCAGCTCCAACAGCACCTCCTGCGGCAGGGTCAGCAGTACCACCAACTCTAGGGTTCTCAGACCCAGCTGCTCCAGCGTCGCCTGCTCCTTGCTCACCAGCGCCAGTACCCTATGAACCGGCACCCCCTGCTGCAGTGACGTCAGCAGAAGCGCCTCCAGCGGCAGAGCCCCGAGCTCCAGCAGCGCGACCCTGACGGCGAGCGTACCACTCGTGTAGCTGCTGTGGGGAGAGAGGCTCACGCCGACGAGTGTGACTATGCAGGCAGCCACTCCAAGGAGACCGCTCACCAGCAGCCTCAGTACCCTCAGGCTCAGTACCCCCAGACTCAGCACCCCCAGACCCAGTACCCCCAGGTTCCTCACGCTCAGGCTCAGCACCCCCAGACTCCGCACCCCCAGGCTCAGCACCCCCAAGCTCCGCACCCCCAGGCTCCGCATGCTCAGGCTCAGCACCCCCAAGCTCCGCACCCCCAGGCTCAGCACCCCCAGAGGCAGCAACCCAAGCAGGACCACCCCCAGTCAGACCTGAGTCACCAGTGACCTCAACCGGCGCGAGGCGGGGTCGTAAAACTGCCAGCCAGGCGCGTCAGGGGGAAGCCAAAGAAGACACAGAGAACCGCGTGAGCAGAGAGCTTGTCCGCGGTGAGATCGCGGACAAAGGCACGAGCACCCCAGACCCAGAAACGCGACGCATCGCCAACCTCCCCCGTCCAACGCAGTGTGGGCGAGGTCTCCGGCAAGAAGACACGGGGCCAGAGGTTGAGCTGATGCGCGGCGTACCGGACCGCAAACGGCCACAGAAAATGGGGAGCAGCCGCATGGATCATGGAGGTACGAGCGACCTCCATGACTAAGCCAATGCGGTGCTCAGCAACCCCATTCTGCTGCGGAGAGGCCAGAAGCGTGAACGACTGGCGGATGCCGTGCTCCTCACAGAAGGCTCGCAAGAGGTCGGAGGTGAACTCACCACCTCTGTCAGAGTGCAGACGCAGGACAGGAAAGTCCGACTGGAACCGCTCGCGGAGCTGGAGACAAACAGCGCGGATCCAAGGGATCAAAACAGTCGGGACCTCACCCTTTGTGCGCCTGGGGAAGACCGTGGTATAGCGTGTGTAGTCGTCGACGACCAGTAGGAAGTACCGCTCGCGGCCCTGCCCCTGGATGCGGGCTGGGCCCCACACGTCCAGGTGGAGAGTCTGCAGTGGAGCCTCTATCGAAGGGAACGAGGAGGAGTGAGGAGCGGCGCACTGCCGCCCCTCGACGCAAGGAATGCAGGGCGGTGCAGGCGAGGGAGGGAGGGAGGGCAGAGACCTGGGAAGACCAGAGACCAGGGAGCGAGAGTGCATGCGACGAAGGCGAGGCAGGGAGGGGTGACCAAGGTGGTGGTGCCAAAGGAGAGTCTGGTGCGACAGGCGGCGACACTCACTGGGTAGTGTCAGAAATAACTGAGCAGGAATGAATGAACTAGAACAGAGTTTGGTACAAGTAGGAAACCCTAACTTTGTGTACCCCCTAAGGTGTAACCCACTACAGCCTAGACAATATAAACATACAATGTTTGACAAGTAGCTACCTGAGCGGACGCGTACAGCTGAGGAGACAAAGGGGCGTAGCGCGACACAATGGTGAGGGTGTACAAACTAGACCCAGTCTCTCGTGTGAACGTGGCCAGGTGGCGGCCAGTCCGAGAGCACGTGCAGATCGCCACACGCTGTCCTCCAGGAGTAAAGGTGTCAACCCAATGATCCTGAAGGACTGCGTTGCTCACCAGGTTCGTAGAGAACGAGGGGATGTGGAGACCTGACAGCTCACCGGACGGGACCGCCGGACACGGGAGCACAGTGGAGGAGCGAGCAAGTACTGGGCCCTCAGAGGGGTCAGCCAGTGAGACAGGAACAGGTGCAGGGAGGGGAGTGACTGTGGTACTGTCGCGAAAGAAGCAGCGGGAAGCACCAGAGTCAAGTGTAAAGGTGTGCAAGGCCTCAGCAGGCGCAGTACCAGAGAGAGCAGACTCACCAGGCCCTCAGATTCGTTTTTGGCCTGTCTGATTTGTCAGACTGGTACACAGTTTTAGTCTGAAACTCTCAGAGTTGGTATTTTAAAAAGGCTGAAATTTCACAATGCCTAAAAAAAAGTCTGAACATTCGAAATCAATGTATTCAATGTTCATCAGAAATGTATTCAGTGTTCCATTCACCTTACCGAAACTAGACTAGGGGGATTTCGGGAGAACATGCTCTGACGGCGAATCTGCAATGTCAGACGCGAATCTTGTGGTGATTGGGTGAATCTTGTTGTGATTGGGCAAATCTTTTGTCAGAGCGAATCTAGTGGTGTGACAGGGCAAATCTGCAATGTCAAACGCAAATGTTTTGTGATTGGGCAAAATTTTTGTGCTCTGACGGCGCAAATCTGTGGTGTCCGGACGACTTGGCTATGATTGGGCGAAATTTTCATGCCGTAAGGCGCGGATTTGCTATGTCAAGGCGATTTTGCGTTGACAGTGCGATCTGCTGTGACCCGTGAAGTCCGAATCACCAGTCAAGAACTCGTTTGTACTTTGAATTCATCAGAGTACACTCCCGACAAACTCTGAAACGTCGAGTTAGCCTATAAAAAAAAAATCTGATTTTCACAGAGTTGAGGCAAAAAAAAATCTGATTTTTACAGAGTACACCCTAAAAAAAATCTGAAATCTCAGACAAAAACAAGCAAATCAGACAAAAAACTCTGACTTCTGGGGGCCTGAGACTCACTAGCACCTAGAGCAGCAGCCGCTATACCAGGATCAGGGGGCACACACAGGTAACAGTCACCCTCAGTAGTACCAGTCAGAGCACACATGACAGTAAGGATAGTGTCATAGTCTAGAGCAAAGATATCCACCTTGTTGCGCAGCAGCTCTAGCCAGGGGGGGAGCTCAGCCTCATCGCCAAACACTGCACGCCAGGCTTCACTCAGATGGGCAAAGCAGTGAGCCTGTGTGTGAGAGAGCGTCCCGCAAGTCTGACCAGCCGGATCACCTGTGCGAAAGACGTACGGGCAGCGGACAGTACTCCTACACCCCCCACTCTGAGCGTACCACTCACGAAGCTGCTGGCGCGTAAGGGTCTCGCTCGGACGCCGCTGCAGCTGCATCTGGCCACCGCCAGGAACTCCGCACTGACCAGCTCCACCGCGACTGCCACGACGGCCGCCGCCAGCACACCACCTAGCGTACCACTCACGAAGCTGCTGGGGCGTAAGGGTCTCGCGCGGACGACGCTGCAGGTACATCTAGCCACCTCCAGACACTCCCCACCGAACAGCTAAACAGCGACTGCTACTACGGCCGCCACCACTCCCACTGCTGCCACCACTGCCATCACCACTCCCACCGCTACTACGAAGTGAAGTCATAGCGGGCAAGCAAGGAGGCGCGCGACCAGTAGGGCAGTACAGAGGGAAGGCAGTAGCACTAGCAGCAATAGCAGCAGTAAGAGCAGCAGAACGGCTCGGTGAGGCTGGGCTGCAGCACCTCCAGCACTCCTAGCAGCACCTCCACCAGCAGCAGCAGTAGCACGAACAGCAGGGCGGATCGGGATGGGCATGGCGGCTCGGGCTGGGCGGCGCGGCTCGGGCTGGGCGGCGCGGGCAGCAGGGTGCGCGCTATGTAGGGCAAATAGCAGGGCGCGACGCGCGGGCTGCAGCAGGGCGCGACGCGCGGGGCAGCAGGGCGCGACGCGCGGGCTGCAAGGCGGACGGGCGACGCGACGGGCTGCAGGGGCGCACGGCGCGACGGGCAGCCGGGGCGCGCGACGCCAGGCAGAGCAGAGCGTGCGCGGGGCAGCGCAACGCGGGGCAGGGCAGGGCGTGCGCGGGGCAGCGCGACGCGGGGCAGGGCAGGGCGTGCGCGGGGCAACGCGGCACGGGGCAGCAGCAGCAGGCAGCGCGAAGGCTGCAGGAAGGCGCGCGCAGCTTAGCACGTCACGGAGGCTAGGCAGGGCGCGCGAGGGGGGCGCTGCGCAGGCAAGGCAGAGTGCGCGCAGGCGGCGCAGCGCAGGCAAGACGTCGGGTAGCTCAGTAACCGCAACGGTAGGTGGGCCCGAAAAAAAAGACGGTCCTACGGACCTACTGCTCTGATACCATGTCAGAAACTACTAGCAGGAATGAATGAACTAGGTCAGAGTTTGGTACCTCACTACAGCCTACACATATATAACACATGTATAATTTAACACGAAGTCCAAGCTGAAGAAGATGAAGACGCTAAACGCTGAAGTTGTGATTTTACATAGCATCCGCACCAAAGCCGTGGAGTTTCAGACGAAGTACCCGTTGCTGAGTGCGAACGAGATGGGTACATGGTCCTTGCACGCTTACCACCATCTGCTTTGGGGCCATGCTTTACAGCAATTGCGGGTGATATGATTATCTGAGTGCTCTTCAAATGATTTTGACGGCTGCGCTGGTTGTGTTCAACCAAATAGATTTTAGTAGCAACAAGAGGTGTCACGAGGCATCTCCTGACGTCCAGACAAATTGAGCACGCCAGTGGTTGCAACAATCTATATTCAGCTATGTGCTGTCTTTATGGAACTTATCACCCTCCTTCGCAAACTGTAGTGGGTCTCAACCAGAGTTGTTTGGGGGCAGTCTCTGATATAGTCACAAGGCTTGGGTGTGCCAAAAACGAAAGATTGCCTTCAAATAGATCAAGCACCTGCACTTTTTTTCACGGCAATAACTAAAGCAATCGCTTACACAAGAGAAGCATGGTAAGCACAAGAGTAGACGAGGCACAACAGATGCAAATGGGGCCGATGTATCAACTGCCATCAACCTCCATGCCTCATTTATTTTCCATTGGTTGCTAATCCTGCAAAGACATTACACCTTGCACACCATTCCACCGTTCCACGCCAAGCGCATTCTAGAAAGGAGTGGACCCAAGCACATTGCCTGCCGGCGAGTAGTCGCACACCCACATGCACCCCCCATCCGCACACTGGGCAGCACCGCACCCCACGTGTGTGGTATCCCGCCACACCACCTGCGTGTAGTGCAAGCACTGCTTGCCAGCAGCACACCCCTGCGGCACGGGGCTGTATGACCAGTCCGCCTGCTCCGCCACCCACGACTGCACGGCCGCCCGGTCCTCCTCACTGCTCAGCTGCACAGGGCCCTTCCAGTACAGGTTCTGCCCAAGCCCATCCGCTCCTCCATGCTCCATCACGCATCCTCTAGAGGCAAGGTTGTTCGCCCATGCCTGTGCCGTTGCTGCCACCCCATCATCCCATGAGAGGTCCGGCACACCCACTTCCCGCCGGGCCTTGTTGTGCTCCTCCAGAATGGCTGCCACGTCCACAGCTGCTGCTGCTGCTGCTGCTGCCACCGCTGCTGCCGGTGTCACCGCCGGTGCTCGTGTCACCGCCGGTGCTCGTGTCACCGCCGGTGCTCGTGTCGCCGCCGGTGCTCGTGTCACCGCCGGTGCTCGTGTCACCGCCGGTGCTCGTGTCACCGCCGGTGCTCGTGTCACCGCCGGTGCTCGTGTCACCGCCGGTGCTCGTGTCACCGCTGGTGCTCGTGTCACCGCCGGTGCTCGTGTCACCGCCGCTGTCAGTGCAGCCATCCGAGTTTAATTCGTCCAGCTGCCTGGGATTGGAGGCTCGCAGCAGCAGCTTGCGAGGCGCAGTGACGCTCTCTAACTGGCCGGTGCTGCTGATGGGTGTGATGCTAGCGGAGGTGACTCCGGCGAGAGCTGGCATGGCGAGTGCAGATGTGACTACTGCGAATACTGCAGACAGACAGGGGTCACGAGTGGAAATGGGAGGAGAGGGAATGAAAGAGGCGAAGGCGTTAAGAGAAAATGATAGAAGAGGGTAGGAGGGGAGAGGGGCAATTATTAGAAGGAAGAACAGGAGAAGAACGTTCATAAGAACGAAGGATGGAAAGAATTATTCAAGAAACGGAAGGAGGGGGGAGGAGGAGAGATTGAAGGAAGGAAGAGGAAGGAAGAAAGAAGAAAGGAGGGGAGATGAAAGGAGGGGAGATGACAGAAGGAAGGGGGGTTCACGGAGGGGTGAGGAAACGAGGAACGGAGAGGGAAGAAACCGGAGTGGAACGAACAGGTGAGAGGAACAGAAAGGGAGATAGGAAGGGCAGTAACAAATCTGACTATCAGCAACTTAGCACTCACTGACCAACTCTAACCACAACGGATTTGCTGACTCACTCTCTAACCTCTCTACCCAACAACAATGCTTCCGGCTTTCATCCTGTTCCAAACCGGATCCGAGAACTCACCCAACGCGGCGCAAACGGAATTCAACATTCGGACGACGGCCATAGTCAGAGATTCCGATTCTGTCAGTCGAGGATAGGCAGGCCGTCTGTAAGCTGAGAGCTTGTGAAGAGAACTCTCACTGACTGAATTAACCTGTCAGGATGGTAAAGAGAGACTGAACTCTGAGCCTGATTGGGTCAGACAAGGCTGGAATGGCAAGAGCGAGCGGGCTGGTGAAACTACGGCGAGAGATGATTTGAGGGTAAAAGGCAGCTCCATTATGTAGGTTAAGGTCGCGATTCCAGACGGAAACGGACAACCGAGACGTCGTTGCTCCGTCGGAGCCAACGTAGGTCGCACGAGTGCGACTTCGTAGATATGAAACGTCGCAAAGCTTTTCCTAAGGGCACTCGGAAATCTCTAGCAGATGTGCTACGAGCAACCACAGGACCCGTCGGCAATGACGCCTGAAAGGCGACGCGGCGCCGCGTAGATCAGAACAAACCCGACGTCGTGCGACAATAACCTCGCGGCTTGGTGTGGAGAGAACAAAACCAACTGTGTTCTGTCTGGACGGAAATTATGATGTTGCCGAAGCGCAACCAGCAGGCACAAATAATTGCGCTGGTAGGGAAGGTGAGTGCGGCTTACTAGCGTCTCGTTTACAGTCCACGTGTGCCCAGACCGGTGCCGTAACGGTTCGGCACGGTGATTAGAATCTTGTACAAACATAATTATCTGGATACAAAATTGTTCACAATGCTATTATCCATGTCCCTTTCCTTCTGCCATTATTCATTAGACGAGAAAAGAAATGAATAATACAAAAAAAAATGTCCTGCAAGTATGCAGTATAAGCGCATACTACAAGCACAGTGCACAAGCACATGCGCCTACCGTATTGTTGAAGCACATGAACGTATTGCACACTAGGAGCCAAGGGTCCTATTACAAGGGAGAAACCAAGGTCAATGAACGAGCTAGTTGATGACCTCCACACGGTAGCGACAGTATCCACCGATGCGCAGGTGAGGACAGAAACTGTTCAATTCACAAGAAGCACTTGCACGGATCAAAATGGTCGGTCCCATCCCGATTCCCATCCCATCATTCACTGAACTTGCTGTATTTGACGCTTGCCAGCTAGTACCGGTAGCAACTCTTTGGACCAACAGCACGAGAAATCTCAGATGCCAACAGTCGGTCATGGGTGTCGATGCTTTCACCCATAGCCTGAAAGCACAAAATGCATGAAACGCAGAAGACTCGGAACGAAATTGGTACACACAAAAAAACAGCACAAACAAACACACTGCAGTACCTTGATAAGTTTTTGGCTCTTCTTGGAATCCATGAAGTGGTTGATGTGATGGATGATGGCCTGTTTTGTCCGTGCTGCCCCAACCCGGTCAACCGCCTTCAGCACTCGCAGGAGGGAGCGCTCTTCCACATCGATTGCTGACAGCTGCCGGTCCAGCTTGTCAGCTAAATCGGCAACATCAAACTTGTGTGCCGCTTCCAGCAGTGGAAGCCCGTGTTGCTGTTGGTTAAAGGGAACATAGCATTCAGGTGAATAAATAAATAAATAAATAACGTGAAAATTATGGAAAGAGGACCCGCAGAACTGAATTCACCAGCAAGTGCTTGCATGGGAAAACATGTTTCAATACTGCTATCAGGCAGTGAACCTCATCCATTAAAATCGCCAAGAGGGGCGAACTAGGATAATATGTACTGCGTTTGCACTTACCTTGAGAGCAGCGACATTGGGAGTCATGTCGAAGCCATACATGAAGGCCAGCAGCAGGCGCATGGTGTGGCCATCCACGTCCGCCAGCTTGAACACCTGATCCCTCTCATCCGCCCCGTCCTCTAGCATCGACTCCAGCACTGGCGACCTGAAGAGAAGAGAAAAGGAAAGAGGTGAGAAACAAAAGGATCTGCAGAACAGAGTTGAGAACTTATAGTCGTTTGGTATTTGGTGGCATTTGGTGTTTCCACAAAGGCGTAAGTCACATATTACCATAACGATATGATGTTGCGGTGCGCACGGATCCTGATCCCATCAGCAGCCTCAAACACCACGTCCGTGAACTTTTCCCGCTCAAATAGGTCCTTCAGCTTTGCTGCGAGGCGTGCCAGCTCAGCATGCCTGAAATTGTGTACCGCACAAGGAGAAGATTGCACTTGCCAAAGGACTGAAATCATTGGTACAATAAAAGTTACAGGGACTCGAGTTGATGAGCAAGGCACGATCAAGTCCAGCATGTGTTGCGTGGCTTGGTTCAACTAGTTTTACTAAAATGAAAACCCAATACCAGTTTTGTTTACGGACCCACCTGTCTGTCTCAGGTAATGAGTTGCTTCTGAAGGCTCCTGGACTGTACATGTTAGCATGGGTGCAGAAAAGGAACAAATCAGGAGTTAAACGCAATAAGTTGCAGATATGGCAATATGTGCTTAACAGCATAACTGGATAGAACACTCTGTTAAAACAGTGTGGTAGAATATTGACGTGAAGTTTAAGCAAAGAAATTGTTCTTAAGGCACGGAGAGACCCACCCACCGTGGTGGACCATGTGAGCCGTTCCATCCACTGCACAGATGAAACGCTCAAGGGGGATTGGTTGGCATGTTTATAAGAACAAGAGTGTGATATAAGATATCAACAGGATAAAAGATCCAAGAAGGCGGGAAAGAGGGAAGACCCTGAAACTTGCTCACTGGTGGTAATTATATCGTGCTGCCATTTTTCCAGGCAATCAGGTACACGCTGTAGTAGTAGTTCCACTGGTGAAGGCTCGAGCGGAAAAATGGAACTAGCCCTAACCCGAATGATTCAAGAAAGAAAAACGCAGCTAGGGCGTTTTAAGAAGCAGCCTGAAGTCGACCATCCCACACGTGCGAGGCGAATGGACTCGCGGGCGTGAAACTTTCGAATTGGATTGTCACCGCGAAGTTCGAATCTCGCAACATTGGACAATAGAAGTTGGTCGTCAGCTGCGAAGCTGGCAAACGAGACTATTGAATTACGACCAGCAAGCAGCTGGCGACACTGCGTGCCGCCGATATCGACGCTGCCGCTTTCTGCGAAGGGGGTACCGGCAAAAAGGTGTCGCGACGCGAGTATCATCTTGTCGAATCGAGAGGCAGTGGCGCCGTGCCACCTGCGTGAAAACTGCTCGTCTCGTGACGGTTTGCATCTGCATGCTGCTCTGCCGCTGCCGCAGCGCCATGCTTACTCGTTCTAAGTGAAGTTAGGGCGTGGTAAGACGAAGGCGTGATTGTTCGTTGAAACCATGCCACAAAATCCTGCAGCGAAGTCACACATCTACACAGCTCGTTTTGGAACCTGTGTAGCAAAGTTACCACGTTCAACTGTGGGGTGTTATGGATCGTCCACATCAATCTCCCGCTCCAACCCTAATCCCCGACAGGCCCAACCATTTTCACTTGTCACCTCACAACGCCTCCTTGAACCGCATTCCGACGTATTTTCAGGACGCGCCCTGCACCATCCCCTACCCGCTCCAGTGATAGAGCGACTCCATCGCTCGCCCGCCCCACCGCTCGCCGTCGCCATCCTTGAAAAAAGATTTCGTCGTGCGTCACTTAAGTTCCAGGCCCCCGCCTCACTCGGGCGCACGCCATTCAAGTTCGCGTCATACTCGCTCCTGCCCGTCGCCCTGCTTCCCCCTGTCGCCCCTCGCTCCTCGTCCCCGTCGCCCTCACTTCCCCTGACCCGTCGGCCTCGATTCTCTTTTTTAGCTTCCCCCCGTCGCCCTCATTTCACTTCCCCGTCCCGCTCACTTCCCCTCCCCGCCGCGCTCGCTTCTCCCTGCCGCGCTCACTTGCCACACATACTCGTCCAGCTCTCATCAGAGGAGATTCACTGTAGCGCGACCTGATACGAGTGAAAAGCCCTACTGCTTTCGTAGGGCCATGGTTCGCAAGGTTGTGCGCGGGCGCGTCGAGCCGCTCGCCGCCGTCGTCTCCCCGCAGCAGGCGGCGGCGGCAGCGGCGCGCATATCGCGGTCGCTGGAGGAGGAGCGCGGCAATGCGGACCGCCTGAGGCGATTCCAGCAGGAGAACGCGGAGCTCTGCACGCTCGTGCGCTCGCTACCCGACAAAACGAGCCACGCTGTCATGGTGCGTTGTGTGGCTTCGTGTCCGGTGTGATCTGAATCCGCCTCCTTGCCACCCACGAGCTCACACTGCCATGACTCATGTGGCGCTGATAACTCCGCCTCTCCACTGCCCACATGCACACCATGCTGATCGGCGTACATGCGGCTGCTGCTGGGGACACGCGTCTACGCAGAGAGGCTACTTTCCCAGGTGTTAAGGGACGCATCGACTTTTTGAATGCTCCACGTACTCCCCCACACACTCTTGGTGTGTGTTCCTCCCACCAGGTGCTTTCGGACACTCCCGGGTGGGCTGTCCCGGGTGGGCTGTCCCGGGTGGGCTGTCCCGGGTGGGCTGTCCCGGATGGGCTGTCCCGGGTGGGCTGTCCCAGGTGGGCTCTCCCGGGTGTTGAGAGCTGCAGCACATTCTCCGTCCGCTCATGGTGCCGCACTGCCTGCCCATCCTCCCTCATTCACCCTGTTTCCCTTCGTCGCGCTGCCTGCTCCCCTGGCTGCGGCAGCCACGCAAGCAACCGTGCCTTTTGCTGGAAGGCGGTGATTATGCTGGGAGGTCAGCCTTCGAGGGGCTAGGGTTCTTTTGCCGTGAAACGATCGGTCTGCTCCACGCGCTCTCCCACGACCTCTCCTCTCCCACACGCTCTCTCCCGCGCACTCTCCCGCCATGGGCCCTATGCTGAGCGATTAGCCTCCCCCCACACACACTGTGAGTGCTGTGCTCCGCTCCGCCCACCAGGTTCCCTTGGGCCGACCCGGCTTTGGTCCGCGGGCGCCTTGTGCACACCAATGAGCTCAACCTCCTGCTGGAGACGGGCTCTACGCTGAGTGATTGGCCTCCCACACGCACTGTGTGTTCCTCTCCTCCCACCAGGTCCCCTTGGGCAGAGCTGCGTTCTTCCCCGGCCGCTTGGTGCACAGCAGCGACCTCACCCGTCTACTGGGGGACGGGCTCCACGCTGAGAAATGAGCGATGACCACTCTGTCCTGTGCTGTGCCTTCTCCGCCCACCAGGTTCCCTTTGGCCGCGCCGCCTTCTTCCCCGGCCGCCTGGTGCACACCAACGACCTCACCCTCCTGCTGGGCGATGGGCTCTACGCTGAGCGCTCCGCCTCGCAGGCGCTGGGGTTGCTGCGGCGACGTGGCGCGATGATAGAGCGCCAGCTGGAGGGGTGCCAGGCGAAGGTGGAGGACCTACGTGGCGAGCTGCGATTCGCCGAGCAGGCTGGGGCGGATGCAGAGGTGAGAGAGGGGCGGAGAGGAGAAGATTCTGTGAGGGTAAAGGAGGATGGGGAAGGGGGGAGGAGGGGGACGAGGAAATGGAGTGGGTGGTGAGGGGGATTATGGGCGGGGGGGGGGGGGGGGGGGGGGGAGGAGGGAGGGATGGGGAGGAAGCAAGGGATCATCCCCAAGGCTTTGAAACCTGGTAGGACGATCTCCTCAGCCCAGAGTACGATACGTAGGAATGGAGTGAGTGAACCCCTTGGAGTGAGTGAACCCCTTGGCACGCACAAACGGCTGTCACATGCCCCAATGTCCAAACATGCAACCGAATCAAGTTTGTGATGAGCGAATCATGCTTAGCGTAAACCTCCAACCCAGCATAAAATGTGTGAGGTGTTGAGTTGTTTCCTTCGTTATTCTGGTCAGAGGTTATACCTCCATTCACGTAAAATAAATTATCAAAACGCACGCTTTTCCCTTACTGCCCCGATCTGTGCTGTCGGTCGTCGTGGCCATTGCACTTCCCGGACACGCCTCCATTGCTTTCTTACATCCCCACTTGCCACTCTTGGCATCTTTTCTTTGTTCCCTTGGCTTCCTCTCTTCACACACTCTTTCTCTTGCACACCTGGATGCAACAGGAGGGGTGTGTGGAGATACACGAGTATGAGGAGGAGGTGGAGGGGGGCGAGGAGGAGGAGGAAGGAAAGGATGAAGGAGCACGAGGAGAGGAGAAGAAAGAAGGCAGTTCAAAGGGGAAGGCAGCAGGGGAGAATTTGCCCAAAGTGGCGGGGATTTCTAGAGAAGCGGGTGGTGGGGGTGGTGGTGGGGACGAGGAGGAGCGGCGCATTGAGGCTCTGTTCGCCCAGATGGAAGCTGCTGAGGCTGCTGCTGCTGCTGCTGGGGATGATGATGAGGAGGAGGAGGAAATTGAAGAGGAAGAAGAGGAGGAAGATGAGGACGATGAGGTTGAGGATGAGGAGGGTGAGGAGGAAGGGGGAGAGGAAGAGGAGGAATGGGAGGAAGAGGAAGAAGACGATGAGGCTGGGGAGGAAGAGGGGAGGGGGGAACAAGAGAGAAGGGCCGAAGCAGATACTGATAGGAAGCTGATGGAGGGCGTGTCGGCAGTGAGGATAGGTGCTGTGGGAGGGCAGCAAGGGCAGGCGATGGAGGGAATAAGAGCAGCAAGGGGGCTAGGAATCCCCCCCTCACAGGAGCTAGTGCAGAGCATGTCAGCAGTGACGATAGGTGCTGCAGTGGGAGGGCTGCAGGGGCAGGTGGTGGAGGGAAGCAGATTTCCGCCCTCACAGGCGGAGCGGAGGGAGGTGGGCCCATCTGCCAGACAGCTCAAGGTGAGCCTCGAATGAGTGAGCAGTCAGCTCAAGGTGAGCCTCGAATGAGTGAGCAGTCAGCTCAAGGTGAGCCTCGAATGAGTGAGCAGTCAGCTCAAGGTGAGCCTCGAATGAGTGAGCAGTCAGCTCAAGGTGAGCCTCGAATGAGTGAGAAGTCAGCTCAAGGTGAGCCTCGAATGAGTGAGCAGTCAGCTCAAGGTGAGCCTCGAATGAGTGAGCAGTCAGCTCAAGGTGAGCCTCGAATGAGTGAGCAGTCAGCTCAAGGTGAGCCTCGAATGAGTGAGCAGTCAGCTCAAGGTGAGCCTCGAATGAGTGAGCAGTCAGCTCAAGGTGAGCCTCGAATGAGTGAGCAGTCAGCTCAAGGTGAGCCTCGAATGAGTGAGCAGTCAGCTCAAGGTGAGCCTCGAATGAGTGAGCAGTCAGCTCAAGGTGAGCCTCGAATGAGTGAGCAGTCAGCTCAAGGTGAGCCTCGAATGAGTGAGCAGTCAGCTCAAGGTGAGCCTCGAATGAGTGAGCAGTCAGCTCAAGGTGAGCCTCGAATGAGTGAGCAGTCAGCTCAAGGTGAGCCTCGAATGAGTGAGCAGTCAGCTCAAGGTGAGCCTCGAATGAGTGAGCAGTCAGCTCAAGGTGAGCCTCGAATGAGTGAGCAGTCAGCTCAAGGTGAGCCTCGAATGAGTGAGCAGTCAGCTCATTCAAATGAGTGAGCAGTCAGCTCAAGGTGAGCCTCAAATGAGTGAGCAGTCAGCTCAAGGTGAGCCTCAAATGAGTGAGCTGTCAGCACATCACACCCTTTGAAGGTGAATATTCCAGCTTGAGTTGAGGTCGCAGTCTTATAAACCGAGAATGTCGGTTATAGGAATACGATATAGTTTCTGGCAAAGAGGAACTATGTTTCATATTGAAGGACACGGTTGAAGAGGGGGTTACCTGTCGTCAGGGTTATGAGAAACTGTAGGCGTAGTGGGAGGGCAGCATGGTAAAGCAGTGAATAGAATTAGTGAGGCAAAGCACCGTCTTAGGAGGAAAAGAGTCTTGTGAGATGCCGGGATGCTCCCTGGCCTCGTGTGGGCATGCCCTGGCCTCGTGTGGGCATGCCCTGGCCTCGTGTGGGCATGCCCTGGCCTCGTGTGGGCATGCCCTGGCCTCGTGTGGGCATGCCCTGGCCCCGTGTGGGCATGCCCTGGCCTGACCTGGTGTTGAGAAGCCGTGTGTGCAAGTGGGATTGAAGCCACGTAGCGAAAGGCGTCCAGCTCATCATCTCACATGCATGGTTTGAGGCGCCACACAACTCAAACGAGTTGAGAAACCTCAACACCTTTCACTATACATCCATGTTTCCCTGTAGCTCTGCCCACCTGCTTAATTGGCCTTTCTTCGGTGCCCTACTCCTCTTGCCACTCCTGCTGTGTGCTGCGGTGTGGTCACTCCAAGCGACAGGCGTTCTCAGGCGCTGTTGTGGAGCAAACCTCTGACTCCTCTTCCCCTCCACCACTCCCAATCGTACCACCGGTAACACGCTCGCCCTCCACTTGCCCCCCAGCGATTCTTCGGTCATGCCATGCTACTCTCCTCTCCATTTTTTTCCCTTTCTCGATCACGTGTCGTCGTGTGCTGCTGCTGCTGCTGCTAGAGGGCTCACCTGCTAGTTACAATGCTTACCTTCAAAGTTGTGTGGTCGTCCCTGCACCATATGAAGGATAAAGAGACATGGTTTGGCAAACAGTCCTATTATCTTCTTCCTACCATCCTCTTCCCCCTCCCCATTCTTACTCGTACCCACTCCCACGCATTCTCTCAACCCGCTTCTCTGAATCTATATTTCGCACCCACATGTTATTCCCGTGCCCCACATCCGTTCAGGCACCAGCACCAGCGAGACCTCTCTCGCGATTCAAGCAGCGCCGTGCCGGTCAACTGTGACAGAACTTGCATTCGAGCCTGTTCTGCTCCTTCCCAGCAACCTCTCCTCCTCCTTTCCATCTTCTGTTTCTTGCCAGTTTGCTGTGTTTCTGAGTACCATATGTCAGCTTCGTGATTGCGATTTGATCTGCTTGATTTCGTGGTCGCACACAGTGCAGTGCAGCTGTACTGTACCAGTTCCATGCATGAAAGCATGCCCTCCAAAGTTGCCACAACTGTAACAACATTACTGGTTGAGGTGCAAGCACCTTCCTTGAAGGTAGAATGATCGGTTTGTTTGTATCACAATAAGTAGTTTATTCATGGGCCTTCTCCCCCCTGAACGGCATGCATTACAAGGCAATGCAACTCGTGAAAAGGAGGTCAACCGAGGCACATGCCACTTGGCTCAGTGCGATCGCACAGCTACCTTATCCCCCCGGATAGTAGCGCATATGCGCTTATAATAAGGGTACATTCCTGAAGCGCGTCACAAAGGCCTCGCGTCTCAAACGAAGAGATGCAGTGCGGTGGAAATCTTCGATTCTTAATTTTAATGCGGTGCAGACCGGTACATTGGTTTTATGACGGGATTGAGACATTTGTGTCCAGACAGGAATGTACCCTAAAATCGAATTGAGAAAGCTTGCTTTCTGTTCCTTGTAATTTGGCATCGTTCTCATTGCAACTTGGCATCGTTCTCATTGCAACTGGCCTATTACAACATTGCATCGTTCTAAAACACATGCAAGTACATACTGAACTATACTAGCTATGGAGCCAACCGTCCAAGTGACTGTAGTACGAAAGATAGCCCTGGGGTGGGTGGTGGGAATGTTGATAGAGCCGTTGAAAATAGAGAAACGTGGGTGGAGGGAAATGAACTCCAACCCACGGTTTTTGTAGTTGGAGAAGGGCGTTTAGCGCGCTTCGACGCTGCCAAATATTCGGTACAGGCAGCTTCGCTTTCACAATACACAATTTTGAAAAACACGAATGTGTTTAAAAATTATAATATTGAGAAAGCTTGCTTTCTGTTCCTTGTAATTTGGCATCGTTCTCATTGCAACTAGGGTCTCTGATACATGGGGAGCAGGGGCTTCCGGTTGCACGCGATTGCCTCTGTGTGCTGCTCTGAGGAGAGTGCGTGTGTCGGGTCTTGTAGGTTGCGGGAGGCCTTAATCAGAGGTTCGACGTAAGGAGTGACGTACATCTCCTTGGCGGTGTCGCTCCGCCACCTGCCCAGCCTTTTAAAGATCCTGTCTGGCACGCCGGTGTTTGCTGCTACGGTTGCTGCGCCCTTGCGGAAGGAATGCGTGCCGAGCTGCTGCTCTCCAAGTCCGACTTTTGTGAAGGCCTCTTTACACCAATTCCGGATTGTCGTGTACGATGGTGGCCTTTTCTGGCCCTCGTGGGCTGAAGCATGGCCGAAAACGCGAATCAGCGGCCCCTCCGATTGTGGGCCATAGCCCGCGAGTTGGATGAAGCGCCGGGTGCAGCGCACAGGGCACCAAGGATCTGCCGTTGCTGAGATGGGTATCCAGGTTCCATGGCCAGCCTGGTCCGTCTTGGAGTGTGGTATGAGGATCCACATAGCCTCGTTGTTAAACTGGATGTCTTGCCAGTTGATGGCTACTAGGTCAGAGTATCGCAGAAATCCGGAGTACATGAGGATGGGGATCAACCCCTTTTGAAATTCAGCAGGATTGTCCGACTGTAGGTAGCTCGCGGACATGTCTCGAACTTGTTGGATCGACACGGGCTCCTTTAGACGGCTAGGTCGCGGGCAGTGTCGTTTCGCGAAGTCGCGTACTTGGGTGGTGAATGGTCCGACGGTCGGGCATTTGCTGCCGGTCATGCGATGGGCGAAGCTGACTGCTGAGCACGTGAGCTGCACTGCGGACAAGGTCGCTTTGCGTTGGATTGCGTACACCAGGTATAGCGCGAGGGTCATGTCGGACGTGGGAAGAAAGGGGAGGTCCACCTTCGTGCAGAACGTGCGGAACTTGGCCCAGTAGGGTTCGTATGTTCGAATCGTCGAATCGGCGCGAGATCGCGAGATCATGTTGATGAGTTGGTCGTGTAGTTTTGGGAGCAATTCTGAAGACAAAGCGTATTGATGATAAATTAGTCGAATATTACTCGAAGTGCGATAATTGGACTTTGCGGTAGTCCGGCGCCGGAGAAGGCAGCGGAGTGTGTTCCTGCTGCTAGGCACTGGCTACCGTGTGTTAGAGGGATGTGCGCGTGGATGTGCGACGCCCAGGTGAGTGGAAGGGGTTGCAGGAGTGGCCACCAATTTGCACCCGGCCAGTGCGGGACGATCAGTGTGAGCGATGCGTGGGTTCGCTGTGCGTGGTGGAGGACAGCTGGAACCATGTGAGGGGGGGGGAAGGCAAAGCTGTTTTCTGACGTCCACGCGAGCGAGAACGCATCGATTGCTGTGGCCTCTAGGTGGGGAATCTTCGTGCAGAAGCGTGGCAGTTGGGAGTTGCGGGCGTTTGCGAAGAGGTCGATGGAGTGGGGACCCCAACGACGATCCAAGATGCGGAACCACGGCGCATTCAATGAGTAATCGTCGTGATCGATTATTCTGGAAAGCTCATCGGCGTGTGAGTTTAGCTCACGCGGAATCCATTCGATGATCAATCGTGTTTCGAGCTCCATGCATGTCTGGATGATCCCCTGGCAGGTCGCGGTAAGGTCTGGACTGCGGGAGCCGCCTTTTCTAAGAATGAAAAAGACGCCCTGATTGTCCACCCGCACGAGTACGTGTTTCTTTTGAATCTTGTTGGCGTACGTTTGTAACGCCCAGAGGACACCTTCGATCTCCCTCCGTGTGCTGGACGTTGCTCGCAGCAACTCTGGCATGGTTGCGCTGGCTTCTTCGAGGCCACCCGGGAATGTGGTCAAAGTGGCGCCCCAACTGTGAGCGCTAGCGTCGACATGGATTACAGCGTCATAGCTGTTTCGAACGTGAAATGGTGCACCATTGAATCGATCAAACTCTTCAATCCAGAAGTGGAGCTCCTCAGCTGCAGATGGAGGGATGACTACACTGCTTTTCCATGAGGGTGCGTCATTGATCACTTGTAACATGGCGTGGCTGAATGCGCGAGCTGTTGCGCCAAGTGCGACTCCCATTGATGCGAGCATCCCTGTGACTCTGGCCACGTGGCGGACGGGGACTGGCCGGTGTGCCTGACTTGCGCCCAATAAGTTCCGAAGTGTGGCGTGCAGTGAGGCTCGTCGGTCTAAATCGATGGAGAATCGGCCGGTGTCCGTGTCCAGCTCCACACCTAAGAAGCGCAGGTGTTGTGATGGTGTCAGCTGCGATTTCTTCGCGTTTATCACCAAACCTGCAGCTTTAAGGTCCAGTATTACGCGATGGCATGTCGCTTGAGCATGGGCTTCTGACTGGCAGAGGAATAGAATGTCGTCAACATATGGTACTACTCGAATGCCTTGTTCCCGCCAGCGACGGGCTAGCTGCTTGATGAGTTGTGTGAATACAAATGGGGCTGTCGCGAGACCGAACGGCAATGACCGGAAAGAGTAAGTGCGCCCCTCAAATTCGAAGCCGAGGAACTTCCAGCACGCGGGGTGGATGTCGATGTGAGGCCGATGGAGAACATCCAATCCCCAGCGCGTGCCAAGTCTGCCACGCGGTTGAGCCCTTCGTACTTGAACTTTGGGATGATTAAGTTGGCATTGACTTTCCTCAAATCGAGAATGAGCCTGCATATTTCTCTTTGCTCGACCACGTTGAGCGGACTGATACATGTGAGCTCCCCTGCAGCCGTCTCAACCGCCACTCCGGCTTCCGTGAGTTCTTGGATGGCGGTACGTGTGAATGTAGCATGCGCGTATGCCCCGGCGTGGTTGCGCTCCCGGAAGGGCTGTGGTGGGCCATGGCTCCACGGAAGCCAGTACCCCTTAGCGATTATGGAGAGGACGAGGCTACAAGGGCACCATGAGCTCCACCATGCGAAGGTCGAGCGCAGCCGACCGCACATCTGTGTGACGGTTTTGTCAGTGACAGCGAGCTTGTACGGGTCGCCGTCGCGTGACACCTCATATTGTTGTGCGCCTGTATATTTATGGCATGGCAATAAAATGGCACAGGGTATCGCATTCCTTAGTCAATGCATAAGCCGGCCGTGTGCATGTATGTGTCAAAGATAACTCGACAAAATATGAATAATGCTAACGGTTTTCCGTCATGCCATAGAGGGCTTGTGCGAATGTGTTGCATGCCAACCGACGTATGGGTATGATCCCCCTTCGTTTCACGGCAATATTGGCTCTCTCTCTCTCTCTCTCTCTCTCTCTCTCTCTCTCTCTCTCTCTCTCTCTCTCTCTCTCTCTCTCTCTCTCTCTCTCTCTCTCTCTCTCTCTCTCTCTCTCTCTCTGTGTGTCTCTCTCTCTCGCCATGTTCATATTGTTATTTAGGGATGTGCATACCTCCCTTTCTTGGGCCCGTGACCTTCCGCACGTCCCCTCTCTTAAGCTCCCGCGCTTTCCCTTTCCTTATTTGTCATTATACGCTCCATGCTTCTTTGTGCCCTTTAGGGCCTGCTTCCAATAAGGCCGTGGCTGCCCAACCTTCCCGTAGATGGCAGCGGTAGTTCATATGAGGAGCATGTGATGCGTTTTCTCATTCTCTTCCTCCTCATTTCCTCCTTTCCTTCTTCCTTTTTTTTTTTTTTTTTTTTTCCACCAAGTAATGGGTCAAAAGTCCTTCAATTCATGCCACTAGCATGCCTTTCATCCCATCAATTGGGGCATACGGGGGACCGAGAGGCATTCTTCCTCTTCCCCAAAGCTGAGCTCATGGCCCTTTCATACGACCCTATCCTAGGGCTAGCCCATGGCCACCGCAAGCCCTAATAGGCTGCCCACGGCCTAAGCACTCGAAAGTGCACCGTGCATCATGCCCAATGGCACACTTGGCCCAATCCCGACCCCTACACGACGGGTGCGGGTCCTTGGCCTCCCTGCCCGTTCCGAGGGCATGCATTGGCGACGTGGCCTGGCTGGCCGCAGCGGAAGCACGAGCCGCGAAAGCCATGTAAGCCGCCCGATGGCGGCGGTCCACGCTTTGGGGGGAACGCCGCCGCGCCGTGGTTTCCGCCGCGGTTGAAGCGAGCATGAGCGGCCGCCGCTCGGTCCATGGCAGCAATGTCCGCGACTGCTTGCTTGAATGGCCGCGAGGTGAGCAAGCTTTTCTCCAGGTACATCTTGTAGCGCTTGGCGACGCGTTCGTCGGCGACATCCTCGACTTGAAACATGTCGAAGCGCGCCGCGATATCGTCGAGGGCGGCGACGACAATTTCGAGACCGCCCGCCAAATCGCCGTGCTGCAGCTTGAACTCCGTGTGCTTCAGGTAGGCCCTCATGTCCTCTAGGACCTCCGCTTTCGCCTTCACGTCCGGGTGGTTGAATGTCGCCGCCGACCAAGTAGTGTTGGTGTTAGAGGGGAGAGGGGGAAGGTGTTCCACGGAAATAAAATTTGGGGCATTGACTGGAGCCTCACCATTGTCGTCGTCGAACGAGTGGTGTCAGCATCGGCAGCTGGCGCAGGTGGGGTGTTGGCCGCTGCTTCCTTGTCGTGCCGGTTCGCCATTGTTCCTCGCGCTCCTTTTTGTGTTTTTGCAGTTTCCTTTTTTGCAGAAGCAGAGGCCGCTGGTAGTGCAGTTTCCGCAGCTGTAACGCTGACGGGCTGCTGCTGTAACAGGGACAGAAGTGCGGCGATTTGGTCCTGAGTCAACGCCGAGGTCGTCGCGTCAGACGTTGAAGCAGTTCGGCGCCTCTGGCGCTGACGCGACGGTCCAGCCACAGGCGCTGGCGCGTGCTGTGCGTCAGGCGCGTGTGGCGCCACAGGTGCTGCAGGCGCTTTCGTCGCCACTTGCGCCACGGGTGCCTCAGGCGCCACTGGCGCCACAGGCGCCGAAGGGTGCTGCTGGAGGGGGGTGTTCGAGTCTTTGTTGACCTCGAGCCCGCCCAACAGCACATCCACTGCAGTCTGGGCGGGCGATCCTTCCTCTGCCCGCCGCTTGTTACGGCGTTCGCCCGTCAATTCTCGGGCGTTACAGTCGGGGTCGGAAGTCGGGGCCGACGAATTGCCGCGGTTAAGTGTCGGCGTAGACGCCATAGTTGAGCGATTGTAGGTAAAAATGTCGCGCAGTAAACTTGAGGGTGACACGCCTCTCGGTAGGCTGCGAGTTCTAGCCAGTTTGGACGGAAGCAAAAACAGAACTACTCGAACGGAAATGTTGATAGAGCCGTTGAAAATAGAGAAACGTGGGTGGAGGGAAATGAACTCCAACCCACGGTTTTTGTAGTTGGAGAAGGGCGTTTAGCGCGCTTCGACGCTGCCAAATATTCGGTACAGGCAGCTTCGCTTTCACAATACACAATTTTGAAAAACACGAATGTGTTTAAAAAATATAATATTTCTTAGGGGGTGCGCTTATAAATGAGGAAAGTGCATAAGCGCATGCGCAAACACAAAATTCAAAATTTCCATTTAAGGGTACGAAATGGAATATTTGAATTTTGTTTTTAAGGGTACGAAATCGAAGCTCACGCCCGTGAAACGTTCACGCCGGTTTCGTGCATGAAATGCAGGTGAAAACAGCAGCGACTCAATTTCCCGCCGCACAAATCCTGTCCCGGAGCAATGCATCTACCAACGCTGACTCGGAAGCTGCCGTGCGGCCCAATCCCAGCGTCATGCGTTGCCAGGCAGGGACAACTCATCCGATCCCTCTAGAAGGGGTCGAATATGCCCTGCCACCGCAGCATGTGTGCCGCCCATTTCCCTCCTCTGCGGGTTCAGGCTGTGGGGGTACCCGTCTATAATTTACGAGGACGGCGAGCCGCTTACCTGCAGGGGTCCCGTCTGAAGTCAATTTCTTCTCATTTCTTGCTTGCCTTGAGTCAGTTTAGCATGTTTCGCCCGCCAGGCTGCGAAAGCCATGGCGGAATTCACTGGCACCCGCTTCCTTTTTAAGAAGAAACCTAGGCCCGCCTACTGTGTCGACGCTGACGGCTGGTATACCCGTATCCCACCATCGCCCCCAGAGCCACCACAGCCTCCTGCGCCGCCGGCGCCTCCATCTCCTCCATGTCCTCCTGCACCTCCAGCTCCACCTGCTCCTCCAAGTCCCCCTGTATTTGCAGGCCCATCGAATCCTCCTGTGCTGACGCTCCTGCACCCGTCGGCGTTCGACGAGTACCTGTCTAAACCTGACAGCAACAAGCCCTCCGACGTCTACGTTCGAGCTCCGCCGCCGGCACCACGATGGGGCCAGCTGCAAGATTGTGCGTGAGACGAATTTGGTGTGGGCGCTGACGACGATGTGCCCGACACGGAGGCTGGAACCGAGGCCGGCACCCACACTGGAACCGACACTGGCGCCGAGGCCAGCACCGCGGCATATTTGTTTCCCGAGGGTGCCCTGGGCACCGAGGACGACGATGGTGTGGAGTATTGGTCGCGCGACGGACTTCCCGAGAAGCTTCCTGTTCCTTCGTTTCCTCATGTTAACCGCAAGCGACCCCACCCCTCTTCTGAGAACCGTGATGCCCGCCCCCCCTCTCCCAGCCACAAGCCCTCCCAGCATAAGCGTAACGCTTATACCGCGCAGGAGAAGCTGCAGAGGATTGGGCGCATGGATGTGGCGGTGTCGCTGCGGTCGTTGTCTCGCGAGTCAGGAATCCACTGCAAATGTCTTGCAGAGTGGAAGAAAGCCGCCGCCATGCTCAAGGAAGCGCACTCAGCACGGAAGCGGATGCACGAGCGTGGGAGGGCATCATTGGTACAGGCCGATGGAGCTGAAAGTCTACGCGAAGCTCCTCGAGTGGCGCCGCAAAGGAACGGCCGTCTCCATCGGTCGCCTGCAGGAGTGGTCCAAGGAGTTCATGAAGGTTCTGTTCCCCGACGTGAAGTGGAAAAGCAGCCAGCGGTGGTCGGAGCGGTTTCGGAAACGGTGGAATCTGAGCGTGCGCATGAAGACGAGGATTGCGCAGGAAACCACCGAGCGTAAGATTAAAACCTTCCCGTACCCTGTGCTTGTTTTGCTTTTCAATCAAAGGTACTGACTAATCGCTGTCTCTCAACACTGTCTGTATGTGCGCAGATGTCACGGAGCTGTGCTAGGCTTTCTGGCAGTACGTTCGGGACAAGCGGCGTGAGCGCGGCATCGAAACCCGTTACATCATCAACATCGACCAGACGCCGCTGTGGCTGGAGATGCCTGCCACGAGTACTGTGGACGAAACGGGCATTCGCTTAGTGCCCATCAGGAGCGGGGGGTACCAGAAGGAACGTATGACCGTGATGCTGGCGTGCACGGCCGACGGCGAGAAGCTCAAGCCGTGGGTCTTTTTCAAGCGAAAGACGCCCCCGAAGAGTGACTTCCCGCCCGGTAAGATTACACGGTGGTTCTTAATGTTTGCATATTCTGTCGTCGTACTAACGCTTGTTTCTTTACCGTTTGTGACATCGCAGATGTCGTCGTGGCGGTGCACCCGAACGGCTGGATGGATTTTGACGGCGTCATGCGCTGGCTTGAGGAGTGCGTCAAGCCCTTCATCCGGCCTCGGTTCGGCAGGTAGGCGAGGAGCGCCATGGTCGTCCTCGACTCTTACCGCGGACATCTCACCGACGAAGTGAAGCAGACGTTCGTCGACCTCGACATCATTCCGGCGGTGATTCCGTCGGGCTGTACGGCGGAGGTACAGCCTCTCGATGTCGCGATCAACAAGTCCTTCATAGCTTCTATCCGCCAGCAGTACCAGACCTGGTTTGAAGAGGAGGGCCAGGAGCGGCTGACGCCTGCAGGTAAGAACCCCACCATTGATGGTTAGAGAGCTGGTTCCTATCCGCGTGTTTGGTTCTAACACCATCTCCCCCCCCGACTTGTGGTGCAGGGACAAGAAGCCGCCCCCTGCGGTGGTGCTCAGGTGGATCTCACGAGCTTGGAAGGCCGTGCCACCTGAGCTTATCAAGAAGGTTTTCCTCACCTGTGGCATCAGCAACGCGCTTGACGGCAGTGAGGACAACCTTGCCATGGCGCACAGGCGGAGCCAGCTGACCCACTAGGTCGACGTTGATGACGAGATCATCGCCAACGGCTTCTTCGGCAACAACTGCAAGGAGCCGAAGTCTGACGACGAGTAGATTTTTAGTTAGGAATGTACAAGAATCTTAACGTGTAATGAGATTATTGGTAGAGGCATTTGTAGAAGTGATGTTAGTGTAGGTTAAAATGTTTAGATATAAAAAATAGTGGAAAGATTCCCCCCTGGGTGGGGAAGGGATGCGCTTTTAAAAAAGTACAGGCATTCTAGGGGCCATAAGCGCATGACTTCAGATAGAAGTGCCGGCGCCTATAAATAGGCAGCGCTACTATCCGGGGCGATATGGTACTTGGTTACATACATTTATCACCATTGCTTGCATCAGACTCGTAGATACCATACCAGTAGGTGGTAAAATACCGGAACAAGGTGCAGTGCAACATACTGTACACAAGCACAATCAGATTGCTACCGTACAGAGATACCGTATTCTCCCGGATAAAACACCCGCCGAAATTAAATACCCCCTGGGTAGCTTGTGCGGGGTGGGTGTTATAATCGACCTCGTTACCGTCATCGCCCGGATATAAGACAGTGTTGAATAGTAGACAGGGGTTGTCTACTATACGGGTGTCTCTTATAAACAGGCTAGCCTCATTATAAGACACCTATTTGTGTGTACGAGATAAGACATATATGTCTTATAATCAGAATCGGGGTTTAGGGGTTTTCTCATAAACAGGGGGTGTCTTCTAAACGAGCCTTGCATACTTTAGGCTGGTACATGCATACATTCATGAATCTCTACTTCTACCTAACCCCCCTCAGTCACCGCCTCCTCACCTGCACTAACAACAGGCTCTACACCCAGGTCTGGCACTCGCCAGGCATGCCTAGCCGTCTCCCTAGGCTCGATCATGCGGTCAGCCTCGGCCGCCGCTCCGCGGTAGTTAGGGGTCTCCAGGTACAGCACCTCCAGGCCGGTTGCCACGGCCACCTCTCGCACGCCCTCCGCTTGCATCGCCTCCTCCTCCTCCTCCTCCTCCTCCTCCTCCTCCTCCTCCTCCTCCTCCTCCTCCTCCTCCTCCTCCTCCTCCTCCTCCTCTGGTGCCTGACCGAGCAGGCGCGTGTTGTCGCCTGTGGTCCCCCCGAGGGACATGTCCTCGGAGACATCGGTGGTGCTCCTGGCGCGCAGGTGAGAAATCACCAGGTGGTTCTTCATCCCGTCCAGCTTGCTTGAGATACCACAGTGGCGGAACGCGTCGATGATGATCTGCTTGGGGACTTGTTCCCAAGCCTCCGCGATCCACTGCAGCACCACGGGGTGCGGAGGCCTCCGCAGGGAACCTGCGGGTGGGACATTGGACGGGGCAGCGAGATGTTAGAGACACGGACATGAAGGAGCATATCAAAGACAAGGACAGGAAACAGAACAAGAATTTATAATGAAGGACCAACTCACCCTTCTTCGTCTTCATGTGAATCCCTTCACGCATGAACCTCCTGGCGTAGCGCGCTCGCACGGCAGCCTTGAAGCACCGGTTGATGGAGACGTCCAGGGGTTAAATCTGGCTTGTACAACCCCCTGGGATGACTGCAGGGGTGATGCTGTGCGTGCGGTACGACTGAAGCATGGTCTGGGTGATGTGGCCGCGGTAGGAGTCCAACACCAGCATCGTACGCCTCGCGTTCTGGCCGCGCTGGGGGTTCAGATGGGGCAGCACTTCCTTGGACAGCCATGTCTGCACAGCGCTCTCGTCCATCCACCCGTTGTCCTGTGCTTGGACCACGATTCCTGCCAGGCACACAAGGGACAGACGGGCATCAGCACAGTGGGGCACGCTCATCAGGCAGTTGCACAGTTGAAATTATTACGCTTACCTTCCGGAATCTCACAGTTGGGGACGTTCTTCATCTTAAACCACACCCACGGCCGCAGCTTCTCCCCGGATGCAGTGCACGCGAGCATCACCGTCAAGCGCGTCTTCTGGTAGCCTGCAGTGCGGATTGGGACCGAGCGCGCGCCACGGTGCTCGATCGTCCGTTCGGCTGGCATCTCCACGAATAGTGGAGTCTGGTCCGCGTTGATGATGCGGGCCAGGCCGATGTTGTGCCGAGCCCTGTTGATGCGCACGAACTTCCAGAAGGTCTCGCAGTCCTTTGCGCACCCTGCAAACGGGACAAGCGCAACGGAAGCACGCGATGGTTAGACACTGGGCGAGGTACATGCATTCAATAGCCCGAGCGCGACACGAATTCATTCAACACGCACCTGCCGACAGACGTTGGCTGACCTTGGTCTTCACCCGCATCACCAGGTTCCAGCGGTCACGGAAACGCTGGCTCCAGTGAGAGCTCGCGTTCCAGTTCTTGCCGGGGTAATGCTTCTTCATCCACTCGCGGCTCCACTTCTGGGTGTCCTTCACCGAGATGGCCACCCCGTTAGCGCGCTGAAGGCAGATGTAGCGGTACAAAGCTGCCTCCATGTCGGGGTAGTGTGCGTGGCGCCCCCCCACGTGCATCCACTTGCGGCAGTTAGCCGCGCCCTTGTAGAATCCCGCAGCCGCCTCCGCACTCCAGCGTCTGATGCAGGCGATGGACGCGGTTGCCTCCACGCTCGTCTTCTTCAAGGAGCCGAGCTCCTGATAGCGGCACGCCCACTTAAGCTTCTCACGCACGGTCCATCCGCGGCGCTTCTTCGTAGTGTCTTTGCTGCGAGGGGAAGGTGGGCAGGTGTTGGAATTATAAAGGGTGGGGTCCTTCGGCGTGACCTTCTCAGGGAACGTGGGAATCGGGCCCGCCGCTGCCACGTACTCATCGTCGCTGCCCAGCGTCTCGTTCACGACGATGTCGTCAGGACTCGGCGCCTTCTTCGCCTTCTTCTTAGCCGCACCCTTGCTGGATCCTGGGTCTCCATCGGATTTCCGCTTCTTGTTGCTTGTGCGGCGATGAGCAGGGGCCTTAGCAGGGGCTTCCGCGACCTTGGCCTTTCCCTTCTCCGCAGCGGTGAGTATCAGGCGACGTTCCTCTCCCGGACTGTCGTCGTCACTGAGCACCACGCGGGCCTGCTTCGACTTGGACTGTAGGCGATGGCGCAGCCTCTGCTTCAGTAGCGGAACGTCGTCGTCTGGCATGACGCTCCACGGGTCGTCGTCGTCGCCTTCACCGTCAAATAAGATGGCATCCGCAGCAACCTTGTCCGACTCCGCCACAGCATCCGCATCCGCAATTGCGGCCACCTCCGCCGGCGCAACTATCTTGGGTTTTGCCTCCGCCTCGTCGCCAGCCTCCTCATTCGCATCCACCGCCGCTTCCTGTGCATGATCCGCTTCCTTCGCGTTGTCACCATCAGCATTTTCACCTCCGTCGTTGTCCGAATCACCAGCCCGCCACTCTTCCACCTTGTCGTCACTCCCGACCAGCCGATTCCACCATTCGTCCTCCTCGATGTCGGCAGGACCTGATTCGTCGCCCGAAGCGCTGTCGTCGTGGCCGTTCTCCGGCCAATCCTCCTCGGCGTCGTCGCCGTGTGCTTCGTTTCCGTCGTCCCCATCACAGCTCGGCACCGGAGGCGACGGTAGGACTTCCCGCTTGTTGAGTGTGCACTGACCCTGCAGACAGGGTCGTCGCTTTCTGCAGGGGAGGGTAGAAATCCGCCGAAGCAGAAATGTGCAGAGGACTGGGCGGAGCTCTGCGCTGCAGCAGAAGTACTTTGCGCAGAAGCGGAAATCTGCAGAGGAACGCGTGTCTGCAGAAATCGTGTTTGCAGAGGAGGGCGCATCTGCAGAAGCGAATTTCTGCAGAGGAGCGTGGTTTCTACCGACGACCCCCTCCGACGCAAAAGTGCGATCGTTTCGTAACTTTTGCGGAGGAAATTCGGAATTTCGGGACATTGAGAAATTGACCCCGCGGAACAGTGCGTGAAACTGGGGTGTTCAATCTGGGGCGAAACTGAACCACCTGCACAGAATGAACCTGGCGCACGTTTTCGTAACTACGAAAACGTGCGTTACAGAAGTTGTTTAAAACAACCTGAACAGCTAAAACAACTACTTTTAGGTAGGTAAAAATTACCAACTAAGCACGTGTTGTAATTTTCACCTGCCGACGCTGAGTTGGCAAAGCGCAGCTAAAAGTAGTTATGTAAACGTTATTGGGCAAACGTTCTCTGTATGGTTCATTGGTGGGGTAGCTTCTATTTCACCCATTGTTGTATTCTATTTTAACTTTTCTATTGAACTTCTTTCTGTGCCAACTCTATGCCTTAAAGGACTTAGTGAACAACAAAGATTGCATGGCTACGGAGAGGCATTTCGTAGAGCTCGACCGTTAGAGCAGAAATCTCTGCATGGTGCGGTGAGCGCGGATCGAACACGCATAGAGCCCGTTCTTCTTCGTTAGGTCTCATAGAACTTAGCTCGTCGGCATGGAGGATACTGAGGATATCCTCGAGGGAATCGACAGTCTAAGTGAGCGGGAGGCTGCGGTGCTTGCTCGTCATGAAGGCGGAAACCTCACCGAGTAGGAGCTCAACTTCATGCTGCTGGGAGTACGAGCTCAGTGGGAGATGGAACATCCACCAACTTGTGAAGAGCGAGACGGGGGATCGCAGACTTTTGGAGACGACGACAACGCTGAAGAACCAGAAGAAGTCGGAATGCTTGAGCCCCGAGTTCTAGGACAAGGAGAACCGATGAGCCCTGGAGAAGGCTCGCAGCGGAAGGCGGATGCAAGTCCAAAGAAGGCGACTGGCAAAGGACGCGTGAGCGGTCGAGGATCTGAAGTGAAGATTGGTGGAAGCTCGGCGGTTTCTCATCCATCGGCATCGAAAGACGGCGGAATTGCTCCTGATTATGGCTACTTCAAATTTTCTCCCGACAAGATCTCGGTGCCGAAACTTCTGGAAGGACGTCATGACTTATCCGTGTGGAGGGAGTCCATCGAGCCTCCTCAACTTGAAATTGCGCAGCTGAAGCAGTTCATCGACGGCTCCATCAAGATTCCACGGCTGAGCGACATTTCGCAATACACACAGTTCCGCTCGGCGCAGCTGCTGACATTCATGGTGATATCGCGTTGTTGCTCCCCATCCGTCAAGATCGCATTGAAATCGTGTCGTCTACGAGTGGACGCAGGTTACCAGGCGTGGCGTTTCATCATGGAGACCTACAAAGCGACGGACTATCTTTACATTGGACAGCTGGAGAGGAGCTTGGCAACGCTAGAAATGGGGGAGCATGAGACGGCGACGGCCTATTGCAATCGTGCGCAGATGATTCTCGCTAATCTGCAAATGGCCGGCGTGAACTATTCGATGGCCTCATATGTGACTCATGTCCTTACAGGTCTTCCCGCGGAGTACAAGTACCTTCGCCGAATGCTACAAGCTCCGGAGAATTGCAAGACCCTCGACGAAAATACTTTGACGAGCAGAAATATCGTCGAGGAGTGCACGATCGAGCTTGAGAAGCGGAAGGAATCCCTTCTGCCACAGGTCAACTGGGCGTCGACGGGACAGCAGCAGAAGCAGCAGCAGCAGAAGCGTTGGTCTTCTTCGACATCTGGCGGGTCTACGGAGCAGAAGGCGCCAAACAAAGAGCAGCAGAAGAAAGATGATCAACAACCGAACAACAAGCGGAGCTCGAAGAAACCTTGCTGGGTCTGCGGAGAAATCGGACATTTTGCGTTTCAGTGCGAACAACGCGCCGACAAGGAGGACAATTCACCAGCGCAGAAGGAGAGTTCGTCGAAGTCGGGAACGCAGAGTGCCAACTCCAATTCGACCAACAAGAAGGGCCCTTCTTGCTCAATGGTGGGACCAGTTGTCGACCAACTACAGACGACCGATCTACTCATTTCACTGAACGCGGAAGATGGCGAGGATTTTCAGGCGATTGCTGCAGCCATCGAGGCCGATCCTGCGGTTGTTCTTCTCGACAGCGGCTGCTCACATCATCTGATGGGTGACGATGCAGCCTTTGTCGAAATGCATGAAGGTGGCGACATTAAACAAGTCCGTAGCTTCAACGGGGCATTCCAACCTGTGCGCGGTCGCGGAACAATCGCTCTACGCGGCGAAGCTGGGGAGCAGATTTTGATCCCGGATGTGCTCTACGTACCTGGAATCCATGCGAATCTGTTGTCTGCAGGGCAGCTGAAGGACTGTAGAGTAAAGCTGAAGGACGAAGGTGAAGAGACCCTCCTTCTCTCTACCGATGGGACAGTCCTTGGACGCGCTCGTTATCGAGGACGAGTGCTCAGCACCGATCTCCAGGTGTGGCCGCTGCAGAAATCGGCAGGGGAGGCGATTGCTCTGCGAACATTGGCGATGGATACACGGTCAAAAATGGAAGTGTGGCACCCTCGACTGGCACATGCGCGCGTCGAAACAATCAAGCAAACGGCGACGCATGGTGTTGCGACGGGCTTGGATATTGACAAGTCAGCCAACCCTGATCTACCGTGTGTCTCTTGTGTGGGGGGGAAACTTATTCGGCATAGTTTCCCTCAAGAGGGGAGTGAAGAGCAGAAGGTGCTGGGAGTAGTGCACATCGATCTCTGCGGGCCCTTCCGAGTTCCTGCGAAAGATGGCAGCCGCTACTTTCTTCTGCTCAAGGATCGCAAATCTCGCTACGTTTGGATCTACCCGATTGTGCAGAAAAGCGATGCTCTGCGCGTCTTCCAGAAGTGGCTTCCGCGTGCAGAGAGGCAGTGTGAGGCTTCGCTGAAGGCTCTCCGCTCCGATCGAGGTGGCGAATTTTTGGGAAGTAAATTCACCGAGTTCCTCGAGGAGAAAGGGATTGAGCACGACCTCACTTGCCCTTATACGCCGCAGCAGAACGGGAAATGCGGACTGTCGTCGAAGCAGTTAGGACGATGCTTCTGCACATGGGAGCTCCCCACCATTGGTGGCACCTTGCAGCTCTGCAAGCTGTTTGGGTGAGGAATCGTCTAGAACATTCCTCTCTGCCATCAGGGGTAACTCCTTATGAGGTGCTCTTCGAAGAGAAACCTAATCTTGGCATGGCGAGGGTTTGGGGGTGTATGGTGCAATACCTCATTCCGGAGAGTCAGCGTGGGGGGAAGTTGGAGCCGAAAGCTCGCTGGGGTCTCCACCTGGGAAACTCGCTGCAGAGTAAGGGGTGGTTGGTCCTCGACCTGTCGAGCAACCGTTTGATCATCACGGTCGAAGCCATCTTCTACGAGACAATGTCTCTTGCAGAGTGGAAGGCGACGACGCAGACTCCCATCGTCGACCGTGCTGCGCTCGAAAATGTGTCATCGTTCCCGACGGATCCTGCAGATGATGAGCACGATGATGACGACCTGGTTCAGGCACCAGCACCTCTTGTCAGAGGTCCACTGGTGATCCCCGATTGATCCTAGGGAAGGGTTACAGGCACGTTGGCCTGGGGGGTTATGGGCGCACTCACCCGCTACACAAACAAGCCCTTTTATCCCAGTGGTTAGTGGCTGGGATTCTGACATGGTATCAGAGCAAAGGTCTCGGGTTCGAATCCCGGTGTGTGCACCTCGGGCATCCCAGTGCGGGGGGGTGTCAGAGGTCCACTGGTGATCCCCGATTGATCCTAGGGAAGGGTTACAGGCATGTTGGCCTGGGGGGTTATGGGCGCACTCACCCGCTACACAAACAAGCCCTTTTATCCCAGTGGTTAGTGGCTGGGATTCTGACACCTCTGCCCGTGCCCGCGTCGATTCCGCAGCCGCAACCTCCTCCACCCAACCCTGAAGTGCAACTTTCGCCATTGCCAGAGACTTCTCCCGCAGAGGACACTTCTCCTGCAGCAGATGCTCCTTCTTCGGCACAGATTCGTTCTGTTGAAGATATTGGCTCTGACTCTTCTTCGACAGGGGAGCAGCTGTAAACTGCCACTTCTTCGACGTTCTTTCCTTCAACTGAGAAATTGGTGCCATTGTCGACACTCCTTGGCGAAGAGGGGAGCAAATTGCAGATGGATGTCGTCGCTAATGAGCGTCGAGAAGTTGAGCAGCAGCCTGCATATGAAACATCCGCAGAAGAGCGATCGGCAGAAGAGCGATCTATAGAAGAAAATGTCGAAGAAGAGATGCCTGCATAAGAAGAAATTGCCGCAGAAGAGCAACCTGCAGAAGGAGGACCTGCAGACGAAACATTTCAGGTTTCTCGTTATGGTCGAAAGATTCAGAAGCCGCTCAGCTACCGCGAAGCACTAACGATGTTTACGACGACTTCGCTCGACGGCATGCATGAGGATGTAGTACAGAAAGAGCTCGACTCTGCTGACGAGTGCGTCGTCGACACGGATCATCGTTGGGACATTTCGACCATGACAGTTGCAGAAGCTCTGCGAAGCTGGAAGGGTGAAGCAGTCAAAGCAGCAATGGATGCAGAGATGCAGACTCTCTACAACCAGGAGACTTGGGAGCTGGTACCTCGTCCGCCTGGGGTCAATGTGATGAAGAATCGATGGGTTTTAACGACGAAGTACAACCCAGACGATACGGTCGACCGAGAGAAGGGTCGACTTGTCGTCAAAGGATACACACAGACCCCTGACGAATTCGACGCAATTTCTGCCCCCGTCGGAAGCTACGGAACTGCACGGATGCATGTGTCGAACGCCGCTGACGGAAATTTGGAGCTGATGCAACTCGACATGATGAATGCATTTCTAAATGCGAAACTTGACCGTCCTCTCTTCATGGAGCAGCCCGAGTTCTACAACGATGGGACGGGTCGAGTCTGCATGCTGAAGAAAAGCCTCTACGGATTGAAGCAGAGTCCGATGTTGTGGTACGAGGCCCTCGACGAAGTGTTGGTCGACGCAGGATGGTCGAAGAGCCAGGTCGACGAAGCTTTCTACTTCCACGAGGACGAGAACCACGACATGTG